GAGCAAATGTTATCATTAACAGCAATTTATCATTGATAATCATTTCATTGCAAAGCACATGCCCACAAATAACTCAAATCTTTCCTTGTCTCTTTATCATAAATATTTTGGGTACCTTGACATTAAATTAAATGATAATACCTTAATGTTTTGTCATTTAGACTATAATTGAGTTGGTTTGCCCCCCAAAAAGTTTTTGTGTGTGTCTATTGAGCTTCTCTGAATCATGCCTGGAAGTTTAGTACAGCCGTCCTCAACAGGATTAGGCCAAATTACACTCTTTAGCATGAATATATTTCCACAACATATACATTTTACATGTTCATGAGCTGAGTGATAGTTTTGTATATGTCTAATCTTGAAGTCATCAAAGCATTTGAAGAATGTTTTTGGCTCTTTTTACTGTCTTAATGCAGGAGGATATTTGTGTTTATTTCCTCCAAATTGATTTGATTACCTCAGCTTTTAGGCAAGTTATTTCTGCCTCCCAATTGAAGGGGAGGGAATTTTCTTAGCAATTGAATTTGATTAAAGGTGTGATAAAGCTAAATAAAACATTGATTTACTATAGAAATTTCTCAGTTTTTAAAAAAGTTTTGATGGTCGTTTTGGCTGTGGAGTGTTACAAGTGCTGCAAAGTTGTTAATGCTGCTAGTGCTGCTATTCTTGGGGCTCCATTGTTAGCTGCACTAGCGCAGAGTACAGCTGGCTAATTCAGCAGACCTCAGTGTTGTTCTAAAAAGAGACCACAGGCTTGGTTCAGTGATGAAGGTGCTTGGACAGGTGTATTGTTTACAAAGGACAGCGCTAGTGCCCCATAGGAGCTACAGATACACTAATACTTGTATGCCTGCAACAAGGTACCAGTTCAATCAGCATAGCAGTATGCTGTCCCCTAGACCAGTACAAAGATGCCTCTCTTATGCCTTCTACTTTTATACATTGATACAAACAAGTTAGGTATTACACTCCAGATGTTGTTAATTAACACCTTATACCTGCTAGTTCAAACAAAATATGCTCATCTATTATCCTGTTTATCCCATCCTTATTCTATGAGGGGTTGATGTGTTCCAGCACCATCTCTTCAGAATTTGTTTGCATAGCTACTTGAGAACTCTGGGTGTTCTTGTACCATCCTCTCAGGTCAGGAATGTTGACTAATAGTTGGGTGACTCATACCTAGTGTATTGCTGTTCTGCCAAGGCCAGGTCTACTCTGGTTCATAGATTTTCGTTCATACTGTCCGTTATGCCTAGGGCTCCAGCAAGACCTGCAGTGGTGACACTCCTATTCAGTGGTTGCCTGCAGGATCAATAACTGTGCCATCATTGGCTCCCTGCCCCACCTATATTGACTATGGAGGAGAATCATGGAGCATTAACAATTTCTCTGTAAATTAGCCTTCATTTAGTTTCCAGCTTGATGCTGTTTTCTGGGTCCCTCTTTTCACCTCAAACTTTTATGACTGTAAGTTACTCCCTGTACTTTGGGATGCCCCAAAGCTTTGTCCTACATTTACCAATGGCTAGAAATAAGACTGAATTTGCTGAAATAAATCTTTATTATAGAAAACATTTTCTATTTTGTGGGATTTTTCAATTAAAAAATTAAGCAAACATCACAAATTCAATAAACCTCCCTCTCCAACAAAAATCTGTAAGTTGTTTACTTCAGTTACTTCCATTATTCTACATTTGCTTGTCTTAATACATCCCTGAAAAATATTTCCACATTTGAAATTTGCTGAGGTACAGAACAGAAACGAATGTAGTTCCCTCCAACCTTAGGAAATGTACTTGACACTCCTGCTCTTGGGCGAGTTGTATTGCCACAGGAATTATACTAAAAGCTGGTCTCTTTCATTCTGTCTTGCCTAGGAGCAAAGTCATCAGCAGTCATTCATTTTTTGTTGTCCAAAGTAGTGTATTTTAATTCTTTACTAATTAATTTTTCCATAGCAGTCCATTTCAGAAAGGGCTTCTTATTCATGATACTTTGACAGGAAACACATTCTGTTGGATCCAGGAAAACCCATTTCACGCTACATTCAGAAAGGTGTAAATTCTTGTTTTTTATATAATCGTTGTTTATAGTTTAATATCTGTTTGTTTAGCACACACTATACCATAATATTTTAATTTGTTTTCATGCCTCACCATATGCTTGATAAAGTAATTATTTTACTAATTATTTGTTTGTATTACTATTACCATAAGATGTTGCAAATACTGTCTAGTAGTGCCTGAGATGCACTGAGAGATTCTGAAGCTATAGACTTCATGAGTTTTGCTTATAAATGTTTTAATATACAAAATCTACACGGCTGCGTGGAAATTGGGTTCTTTTGCAGTTATCTCATGTGCATGAGTAAATGTAGGTTTTGCATTTACAAAATGTGTAGGTTTATGTTAGGAAGTTTGTGTGTGTGTGTGTTAAGCTACTTTTGGCATAGTTATATTAAACAGCATGTCCACACTCTGGAGTCTTTTATTCATCTTGTAAAGTGACTTGTTGGGGTGCTGGGGTCTTCGTTTGTACATCTATATGCAGGGGCATGTCAGTGTTTAGTGGTAATTTCATCATTTTTTAAGAACCTTTTTTCTATTGGGGCCACTGACCCACAGAAAAAATCAGTTGTGGGCCACGCACAGTCCCGTGCGGGGTAGGGGGGCGGACGCTCAGGGCTTCCCCATGGCTCTGGAATGGGGCCAGAAATGAGGGGTTCAAGGTGCAGGAGGGGGCTCCGGGCTGGGGCAAGCAGTTGGGGTGCGGACTCCGGCTGGGAATGCGGGCTCTGGGTTGGGATGCAGGAGGGGGCTCTGGGCTGGGGTCAAGAGGTTTGGAATGCGGGAGCAAGCTAAGGGCTAGGACAGGGGATTGAGGTGCGGGAGGAGGTTTGGGGTGCGGGCTCTGGGAGGGAGTTTTGGTGCAGGAGAGGGCTCAGGGCTGGAGCACGGGGGTTTGGGTGTGGGTGGGGATGCAGGGAGAGAGCTAGGATGCGGGAGGGAGTTCTGACCTGGGGCAGGTGTTTGGTGTGCAGGTGGGGATGTGGGGTCTGGGAGGGAGTTAAGATGCAGGAGGGGGATCAGGGCTGGGGTAGAGGGTTGGGGTGCAGGAGAGGGTGCAAGGTACAGGCTATGGGAGGAGGCTCAGGGTTTGGGTGTGGAAGGGGGTTCCGAACTGGGGCAGGGGGTTGGGGTGGGGGGGTGGGCTCTGGGAGGGAGTAGGGTACAGGAGGGGGTTCTGACCTAGGGCAGTGGGTTCTGGGTGCAGGCTCTGGCCAGGCGGCACTTACCTCAGGCGGTTCCCAATCAGTGGCACAGTGGGGCTAAGGAAGGCTCCCTGCCTGCCGCTCTGCACCGGTCCATGGTTCCCGGCCAATGGGAGTTGCAGAGCCGGCGCTGGGGGCAGGGGCAGCGCGTAGAGCTTCCCTGATTGCCCCTGCTCCTAGGGGCTGCAGGGACATGCTGGTTGCTTCCCGGAGCTGCACGGAGCCTATTGGACTTTTAACGGCCTGGCAACCCTAGCTTCCTCCTGCAGTGGGGCGAGCCAGCGCTTGTGACTCCAGCCCCGAAGGACTTGCCATGGGCTAGATGAAATGAAGCAGCGGGCCGTAGGTTCCCCACCCCTGTTTTAAGTTATGAGTTTCATAAGTATAATTTTTGAAGGAAACAAAAGTTAAAATTAATTTCAGGGACACATTTTGATATTCCTACAATTTTTTTTCTTTTTTTGGTTTTCTTTTACATTTACTTTGATGCTGTATGGGGTTGAGTTGCTAAAATGTAATTTATAGTGTTTTCTTACTAGCGTACTCATATTTTAAGCAGGGTGGATTTATTTAAATCAAAGTGATGTAAATCACCGATTTTAATCATAATTTAAATAAGCAACAAGAAACCTTGATTTAAATAATTATTTTTAACTTCTTTTTTTGCATTTGCACATTTTAGTTATTCTCCTAAAGAAAGATTGATTCTCATGGTTGATAACCATTAAAGCATGTTGATTTGCTACTAAATATAGCCTTTACATTAAATTTGGTGCTTCCTTTTGCTAACCAGGAGGATACACTATAGCTATACATTTATTTAAGCAGCTTACATTTCATTTATTCACATTCTTAATTTTTTCATTTTTAGTATGTTAGAAAATGAAGAACACCACATTTCTTATTTACTAAAAAATTTTTTTTTTACTGGTGATATGTCCAACTCTATTTAGATGGAAATTCAGCAAAAAGGCACAAAACAGCATTTTAATTTTTTTATTAAATAATACTACCTTAATATGTTTAATATCTAAAAGAAAACATTTATCACAACATATGTTTCATTTAAAGCTAACTGATTTATTAAACAAGCAAGTATTATCTGTAGTTAGTGAATTGAACTGATTTTGTGGTTGCCATGTCTTTCAAGATTTTAGAATTAGTAGATCTCAACCTCTCTCATTTTTGATTCAGAGACTAAAAGAGGAAAACAAGCTTTCCTAGCTTTTCAACTCCCAGTTGGTTTCTTAACTTTGAATTAAGTCATTGAACTGAACTAAAATAAGTTGAAAAACTGAAATGAAGAAAGTATTATCTCTGCTGAACCAAGTTTTAGGGATGTAACCATTTGTTCAAATGTTGTTATTGCATCCTATGTATCTTCACCGCTTTGGAAAAGTAAGTCCTGCTGGTAGATTTTCTAGTGGCAGGTTTGTTGAGTTTTGAGGAGCCCCAGTGAAATGAACAGGTTTCAGGGATGAAGGGATCCCCAGTGTTTTCTCAATTTACCAATATGGATCTTTAATCATAACTTGCTTTCAATGTTCTGTACCATGAATCATAGTATTAATGCATCATTGTGATCCAGATTACTCTTACTGAAGCAATATATAATACCTTTTTCTTTGGTTTGGTAAAGGTCTGTGAAATGATCTGCGGGAGACATTCCCACAAAATTGTTGTATTAACAATTCTTTTCTTTTCTTTCTTTTTTTCCCCACGTCAGTATGGCTATCCAGGTTGACAAGTTTAATTTCGAGAGTTTCCCAGATTCCCCTGGTGAAAGGATACAGTTTGCAAACCCAAAGCAACTGGAAGAAGAGAGACAGCAGGCAAAAGGTCTGGAGATCAACAGCAAGTTAGATGTTTGCTGGAAAATTATATCCTTTAATAAATGCTTGATATATATATATATAGCAGCCTTATGACACATTTTATTTTATAATATATATCACCATTTAATAAGGTTACTGAAAGGGAAAACAATTAGAACTTAACATAATTATAGACTTCTTAATTAATTGCACTATATTTTATTTAGATTTTTCACGATGTTCAGGTCTTAATATAATGGTTGTCTTAATCTGAGTCATATGGGTATGCTGCAAATCCTGTCTATTTCCCCAATTTTGGGGGAATGCAGAAGAGCAGTGAAGGTTGGTGTTATATAAAATTATATTAGTTCTCTCCAAAAGCAAAGTCTGCAAAGTGGTAATGAAATCATGATTTAGCCTTAAAATGCCGAGAATATTTTTTAAAGTTATGCTTAGAACAATAGAAATGTAGGGCTGGAAAGGACCTTGAGAAGTCCTCAAATCCAGCCCCATGCACTCAGGCAGGACCAAGTACATCTAGACCATCCCTGATAGGTATTCATCCAACTTGCTTTTAAGATCGTCTAATGATGGGGATTGCTCCCTTGGAAGTTTTTTCCAGAACTTAATTACTGGTATAGTTCAAATTTTTTTCCTAAAATCTAACCTAAATCTCCCTACAGCAGATTAGGCCCATTACTTCTTGTCCTACCTTCAGTCGACATGGAGAACAATTATTCACTGTTCTCTTTATAACAAACCTTAACATATTTGAAGACTGATTTCAAGTACTCCCCCCAGTCTTCTTTTCTCAAGATTAAACTTGCCCAGTTTTTCTAACCTTTCCTCATTAGTCAGGTTTTCCAAACCTTTTCTCATTTTTGTGGCTCTCCTCTGGACTATCTCCCAATTTTTCCACATCTTTCCAAAAACGTGGCGCCTAGAACTGGACACTACTCCAGCTGAGGCCTCACCAGTGCTGTATAGAGTGGAAGAATTCCCTCCCATACAACACTCTTATTAATACGCACCAGAATAGTAACCTTTTCACATCTACCTTACATTGTTAACTCTTATTCAATTTGTCTTCCACTATAACCTTCAGAGCCTTTTCAGCAATATTACCACCTAACCAGTTTTTCCCATTTTGCAGTTGTGCATTTGATTTTTCCTTCCTAAGTGAAGTATTTTGCACTTGACTTTAATGCATATCTCTACCTCCCCAATCCTTTTTGGAGTGGTCTGTTTCATTATAGACTTATTTTGTGATGGTGCTTTGGCCTCTTAAGGTTCCCTAATAATATGATGATTATAATAATAATAATACATTGCACATATATAGTGCCTTTCATCCAGAGGTTTCAGATGCTTTGTCATCACTAATTATTGAAAATGCACAGAAATGTTGTGACATGGGTTTGTAATATTATATATCTCTAATGATGATGTGTAAACTGAACCACAATAAATTGAAAATGACTTGCCATAAGAAGTCAGAGACATAACCAGAAACAGATACCAAGAGTCTTTATGCAAAGTTCCATGTCTTGCTCATTAGACATTTCAAAAACAATCCTTGCTATGAAAGATTTCTGTTTAGCCAAATCTCCCATATCATATTGCTAGTAGATTCAACCTTCTGACAGTTATTAAAATATTTAAACACTTCCTGATAACATGGATGAGAGTCTTGCATGGAATCGGGTGACATGCTGTAATAATCCTAGTGCCCTCAGACTTTTTCTCCCTGTTATTGAGCAGCAATATTAATATACATATTGCATTCTTTATTTAATTGCAAAAAATATATCAAATAATTTTCTGAGTGACAGTTGTTTGACCTGTCTAGGTGAGGGGCATGTGAGGGACTAATGCCCCATTTGGACCTCCTTCCCCAGCAGAACTAAAAAAACAGAGAGACTGTAGTCTGAATATTCACCTCATGAAAGAGGTGATGTGACCTGCATCTGAACCAGGCCCTGATTGTTATAGACTGGACTCTGGAGCCATCCCTCCAGCAGATTTTTACTCAAAGCACAAGTTGGGTGACAAACATCACACTTCATCTTCTCAGTCAGATTCAAAGCATTCCAAACATTCCTTTACGGATTGGTCTCCTCCAAGAAAATCTTCCTGTAAATCTCTGGTATTGGTTTGAAGCCTCACAAATCTAAATACTCAGTTGTCCCATCTGAGATGGCACTGTTGGGGCCATGAAGATTGGTGTTGTCACCTCTGCCAACTCCTCCTTCCTCTCCTCAGCCGATTCCATGTGCTTCAGCACCAATACATTTCTACTCTGCGTGTTTTCTTGTTGGCAAAAGATCTTCTTTGTCTTTTCCACCTGACTCTCCTTTGATGGAGCCCTGTGCATTGTTTACTCCATTGACACACCCAACATGTCGACCCACTCTGTAGTTACACTGGCACCAGTTGTGCCCACGCACCGACAACACACACTAGGACCCCACTGAGAACTGCTCCTCCCTATTCTGAAGAGGTTTGTTTCTTCTTCAGACTCTGAAAGGGAAGAACCCGTTTCTCCTTCCAGATCTTTCAGCTAATCCTACAGGTCTTCCAATACTTGATGTAAAGATCAGGATTGGGTTCCCTACAGGGAGACTCCAGCTTGGGGTGCCCCATGGATGACTCCATGTATGCCATACCCCCCATAGCCTTATTGGTCTTGGGCTGACCACAGAGACTCTTTACCTCTGTCTCATTCACTTTCTAGGAGGAAGTCTCCACCTTCTTTATTGCAGGAGTTATTTTCTCAGCATCCTGCTACTATTCCTCAATTTGCTGTGCTGGACCCCATGGAGGACAGAGAATTATTGAAGGAGTCATTAGACATTCCTCTCCACATTTCTTCATCATATGAAGTGGTTATTCTGGTGTCAACACCTCCCACAGAAGACTTCAGTTTTCCAGGATCTCATGAGGAGGGTGGCTACCTCTTTAGGGGTCCATGCGGAGATTGTACAGAGTGTTCACACATCCTTCTGGATATTTTACACACTCCTACTCCAGGAAGGGTTGCCCTTCCTATGAGTGAAGACTTACCAGATCTAGCAAAGACTCTCTGGCAGACCCTCTCTTATATACCTTGTAAGGCTAAGAAAGTTGACTGATATCAAGTCCCTCATCAAGACTTTGGTGATTTCTTTAATCACCCAGTTCCTGATTCTATGCTGATCACAGCCACTAATAAATGGTCTCATCAATCCCAATCTAAAGCCACTCTGAAGGATAAGGAATTTAATAGCTTAGATTTATATGATTTGTAAGACTTTTTGCACTTCCACATTTGAAATAAGGGTTGCTAGTTATCAGGCTCTTTTATCTAAAAACAATTTTATTATTTCTCTATCATTTCTAAGTTTGCTGATAAGTTGCCAGAGCAGTATAGGGGCCAGTTTCTATCTTTGATTTCTGAGGGTCAATTTACAGCTTGTATATGTCTTCAGGCAGACATAGATGCTGCTGACACTGCCTCACCGTTGCAGTCTTTGTGAACCATTCGTCCTGGCTGCAAGTTTCTGGCATTCCAAAGAAGCTGCAGAGTACAATAGAAGATTGATCTTTTGAGGCGTCTAAGTTGTTTTCTGCCAAAACAGTCGATGCTGTGTGCGCACTGAAAGATTCTCTCATGCAACACTTCACTCACTAGGAATTTACACTCCAGCTATGAAAACTGTTTAGCCCATAATCTTATTCCACACCCTCTTTCTATCAGAGCCCTCAGTATGCTCCTAAGAGAAGGTTAACACTCCTCCATGTCACCAGCCGTCTGGCTGTGACAAGCCCTTCCCACCAGACAACTGCATCCTTGGAGCATTTGTTTTGACTTCTCAGTCGATGGCGGCGCTTTGATTATATCTCCTTCCTTTGGATCATGCGTTTCCCTGTTTTACTATGCTTTGGAAAACATCACATTGGCCAAGTGGGTACTCAGCACAGTAAAAGAGGGATATGTTATCCAAGGCACCTCCTTCCCATTCCCCATCCCTTTTCAGGGATCCTTCTCATGAGAATTATGCTGTCTTCTAGAATGAGAAGCTACAGAAGAAAATCCTTACCAGCATAGAGGAAAAGGCTTCTATTCCCAGTACTTACTGGTCCCAAAGAAATCTGGTGGCCTCTGCCCCATTCTAGATCTACAAAAGCTGAACTATTTTATCAAGAAAATCAAGTTCAGAATGGTTATCCTCTCTTCTGTTATCCCTTCCTGGAGATTAGTATGCTGACCTCGATTTACAAGACTCATGCTTACACGTAGCAATGAATCTTTGCCTCATGATCGATCTTCAGTTTATGGTGGGCACCAACCAGTACCAGTACATGGTGCTTCTGTTCAGTTTATCAGTCCCAAGGATCTGGGCATTCAAATTTTTCCTTACCTGGACAATAGTCTAGTTCATGCACCATCAAGCGACCAGGTCCAACACATCATCCTAGTCATCAGACTTTTTCTCCCATCTAGGCCTGAAATTATATTTGGACAAGTCATCATTATAACTGATTCAGCACATAAATTTCACTAGGAGCAGACCTCAATACCAGGCCAGCCATAGCTTATCTTCCAAAGGAGAGGTATAAGTCTGTAGCCTTCATTTCTGAAAGCCACAAGTCCAACACAATGACAACCATGCATGCCTGCTTCAGCTCCTGGACCATGTGTATGTAACTCTGCATGCCAGATTTCACCTTCACTACCTGCAGGCTTGTTCCACTCAGTATACAGTAGAACCTCAGAGTTACAAATACCTCCAGAATGGAGGCTGTTCATAACTCTGGAATGTTCGTCATGCTGAACAAAACAATATGGTTTTTCTTTCAAAAGTTTACAACTGAACATTGACTTAATATAGCTTTGAAATTTTACCATGCAGAAGAAGAATGCGAAGTAAGGCTTGGTGGGGTGGAGACTTGGGTGCTGGCAGCTTGGTGGGAGTGTTCCAGGTGCGGAGGTATGAGGGTTGGTAGGGGGGCGGGGATCTGTGTGTGTGTGGGGGTGGGGGGGGGGCTGCAGATACATAGGGGTTGGGTGGACGGAGGGGCAGCTC